CAAATCATCAGGCGTCCGACTTTCGAACGCAAGAGTTTCTGTGTTTTCAGCTATAAGGTCCTCTGACCAGTAAAAAATACAACGTATAGTAATAGAATAGTAATGTAGCTTTTTATTAGATTGTTAATTAGATTTGTCTATTTAATTGTTCTAGACTTTTATCAAATTCTGTTTGTCCAACTACGTGCTTTGAAGGATGAACGTTCTCCTCAAAATTACTCATCGTTGGATTGGTTAAAATCGGTCACGAGGTGTGCTGTGGTACAAAAGCGTAATGAGAATGTTGTTCGCAAAAAATGTCAGGACGTCGGGCAATAATAGCTTGATTCAATCCTCTCTAGCTGAGGAATATTATAGTCTGCAATGGATTCACTATTCAGAATTTGCTAACATAAAGTTGAGTCAATACACGGCTGACCAAACCATCCACTACGCAAATCGATCGAAGCAAAATATGATTCTGTTATCGCTTGGAGGCGAAAATGTACACCAGTGTCTGTGGGGGAGTTTGCCAGAAAGTATTCACTTCCAACACGCAAGCTTAATCTCAAGGAGAATACTTCACCTTATCATTTCAGAAGATACCAAAGATGGCTAGCATGTTGCAACCTCACGATGCAAGGATTTACCGAGCATGAAGGCAGCTATTACATGGTTGCTGAAAGAGATTTTCAATATTGCTACTCTCGATATGGATTCTGCTCTGCATGCGGAATACTGAGATGTAGTCCAGTGTGGTGTATTTGTGGCCATAAGGAAATGTCTAATGGATGGACCAGCAGTTGTAATGTCCATTCATATTCTGAGTGCCCATACTTACAACACTCAGCTATATCAATCTACATTATTTAAACTATGCAATTTCTTTCTATCAAACCTTTAACGAATTGTGTCTGAATGTACCTGTCTGTATCATGCTCAACTTACCTGGCATGGTATAACAAATCTGACTGATGTTTGATTACCCAGTCCAATTATATTACTAGTACTCTTGCCGTGTAAGCGTTATCGATTGGACTTTCATGATTGATTTGTTCTCAATTCTGCAATTAGATCGACCATTATGTATTGTCAATCAAACAGATCAGTAAACCGTTATTGAACAATCACTTAAAAAAGGGAAACAATTTTTCATATTTACCTTCTACATCTTCCTCATCATCATGGTCTAACTTGCATAAAGAACATAATGTCTCAGCAGTAATTCCGTAATAATCAACATTTTCACTACTGAATTCATAATATAGATCAGGATATTGTTCCAATGCAAAAAATAGCATGGTTATGGGTCAGATTATTTTGTTTTTCAAATAAGGTCTTTGATTCAGTTTGAGATTTGAATGGCAGATTTACCTCTGCTTTTGGTAAATCTTTCTTGGGTCGTGATGCAGATGGTACATTTATCTCAGTTTCTAATAAAGCTTTTTCAAGATGGGCCATCCTGAAAATTTCAATTATATTATCTTCAGAAGATACTTCAGGTGTGATTTCAAGCAGAGAATTAGAGATTTGGCTCTCTGAACCATGATTAATAATTTCTTGAATTTGATCATTAGTAAGTTCTGAGATAGAATTTGCACTATAGTTCTTAATATGTTTAATTTTATCTAAACCTATCTTTGCAAGGTATCTTGTGATATATTTGGAACTTGTAAGCCCAAATCTTGTGATTATTTTTTATGAAAAATACAGAGTTGATTTTCAATTTCATTATAAATTAAGGTTCTTGCTTTTTTCTTGCCAATTTTATTTTTACTACTCATTTCACCAACTTGAAATTCAAAATCCCTACCATAAAGAGACCAGCACATGATTTCTTCCTGATTAGCCTCAAAGCTTGATCTTCTGCGCCTATGGCTGTATCACACAAATGAGCTAAATGTTGTGATACCCCATTAATGTCAAATGAATTAACAATACACTTCACAGAACCATCAATGCCCTCAAATTTTTTGGGACAGGCCATCTCGGAAATTTCGATCTGTCCTGGTTTAATATTTTTTGATATAGAGTGATATTGTGAACTCAGCTCTAAAGAAGTATTGAATAATTCTTGCTGCAGTTTATCTGTTCTTTTTTTCTTATGGCTAACCAAAGATAGGCCTTGATCTCGAAGCTTCTTGTCCCTATTGCATTGTTATCTCGCCACTAACTCTTTCCTTACTTTTAAAATCCAGAAACTCATCGATCTCTTTATTTTCCGATGATTTAGGCTCGGATGAGTATGTATAAATATTGGATGAAATATCAAATGTTGCTTCGTGGAGAATGGAATCTTCTAATACATGTATGCTATCAGTTTGTGTCTGCTTCTGTTCCAATTTCGTGACTCTGTCTCTGAGCTCAGCATTTTCAGAAATAAGATTACTGGTGTCTATTTTATTTTTCTTTTCTAGCTCCTCAAATCTGGTTTAAAGCTCTGCATTTGCTTCTATAGCTTGTTTTAATTTTGTATTCTCAGCCTTGACCTCAGCATTCTCCCTTCTAAGCTCAGAAATCGTGGCACTGAGTTGAGAATTTAATTCTTACAAAAAATCAATTTTTGATTGAGCAGATTGAGATTCAAGCTCTGATGACATGTTTGTTAATAACTTTTATATAAGTGCAGATTTATTTAGATTATTGAGTTAAAAATCACGTGTGCATTACAATTTATAACGCCGATCACTTTGGCCAAGAAAAAATTTTTCAAAATGCCTTGGGTCATGGTGTCGATTTAAAGGCAAGTAATCATGATGGCGAGTACACAAAGCACCCTAGATATCGAGTTTGAGCCCAAATAAGTGCATTTACACGAAAATGTTAACAGCACAATTTATTTTTTCATATATTTTGTGATTGCACAACATGTACACAAAATGCACACGATGTTATTATATTGGCTCACGAAGCGTAAAATCTTGCAAGGAGGATTGATTTATTCATTTTTGGCACAACTTAATGAAGGAGACCAGATATTCTTTTGTATCAGTTTGAAGGGATAAATTAACCATAATGATTTAGAAAAAGTAACAAAACAAATACTTCTCTTTTTTCTTTAGCCCAAGACACCTATAAAATCCTCGACATCAACTTTGGCTGTGTGGGTCGTAATCTTATTAAGTCTTAAGATGTTGTTACAGATATCTGGAACACCAGCTTGACGCTTCGCCCTTTAAGAAAGGGTAAGGATTAAGCTGATGCCAAAGAATATAAAATATAGAATTATCTCATACCAAGGCAAATTCACAGCGACATTCCTGTACCAATCCCCGATTGCTTGACCATCTCGAAAAATAAATAGTATGTTCAGATTCCTAAAATCCGTTGCTCCGTTTGCAAGGATGTTTGCGATTATTGCCCCTTGCGTCTGTCCTGCGACACCGTTACGACAATTTGGAACGTCGGTGTCGTTGAAGCCGGCCTGATTCCAATCGAACAAAAGTGCGGGCATTTCGTCGTCGGTATCTTTGATTTTTAAATATTTGAGAACAAGAGTGACAATATCTGGATTTTGAAGAATCGTAGGGAGATTCTCAGGAGCTAACACAAAACACCAATTAATGATTTATAACATCAACAAAAAATAATTTAACTGCTACCTACCTGTACCACAATTTTTTGCAAGTTTGCAAAGTTTTTTTTCTTGCACTATGTATTATCAATATATGTATATATATAGGTGTGAAATCGATTATAAAAAATTATTAAGAAAAAAGAACAATACCTTTGTCGTGAACGAACTTGAAGGGGTTTAACGACAAGTTTAGAGAGTATGGTAAAAAAAAATAACCGATCACATTATTTTTCAGATAAACCCATCAAGAGTCACAGTCTCAAAACGTTGTCATCACGTGATCACTCACGCAGTATTTACTAATGTAGATATGTACAACGAAAAAACTTTTCACAAATCATCAGGTCGTACGATTACATCATGCATGAAAAGTTCCACAACCTTCTAATTTATTCTGTAATTTAACATGTCATGTGATATGTGTATTACGAAGCAACGAACATCTGTATTTTATTACTATCGAGACATTACGTCCTGCAAATTGTCACACATTCATTAGGTAAGACATAGTCTCAAATTTATGCTTCTGCTACAAGAATATGAATCGAGATTTCGGCAGGACTTTTATCGAAATAATCGCAGATTTTTTTTTTCAGGTTCCATATACACATATTCTCTACGTTCAATATCGACCGCACGAAGATTAAAAGAAACATTTCCGTACTCGTTGAAGTAGTAATCCCAGATTTTAGTACGTAATGCATTGGCAGATTCATTCCCGCCTTCTCGTGACTGCATCACTCGAAGCCAGAACTTTAGTATATATTGACTTGATCTGGATCTTGATTACGTATATATCTTTTTTCTGAAAGTCGAGGAAAAAAGGAAAAATGCGCCAGTAAAAATGACAAGAAATATGAGGTGGATATTATCTTAACTATTTTCTGTCAAATATAGATATCTCATTATTTTAATGTTTTTACGGCAAGACGAACAAATAAACGTACCTTTTTCTTTTGGATATGAGCAATAATGGTGCATGTAGTATAGTTCTAAGTATCTATATACCTATTGAGTTGTGAGCTCCACCGTACATTACTAATTTAGAGTATTGTATGATGCAATTTATCTAAAATTAACATATTCTTATTTTTGCGATTGGTTAGTTAGATGAAATCTATATCCAGCGAACAGTTATGTATTACCTCGTTAAGCTACTTCCGTACGCAGATCTAAGGTGATATTATTAATTAATTGGGTTAGTTAGAAGATCAATTGATTATTTGAATTGGTCCACTATTCTCACGGAGGTTAATGGAGATGGTGATACTAATACTAACTTTATATTTCATTGTATTGTAGTAAAAATTGACGTAAAGCGTGGGGGGTACCCATGACTCTTTGAGTCGTCACTGTAGGCCTGCTTTGCAATGAAAGTTCTGGCAATTTCTCGTCCTTTCTCGTCCTTTCTCGTCCTTTCCCGTCCAAGTCTATAAAGAAATTTTGATCTGCGATTTTTTATATAAAAAACGGAGAAAAAATATCTGAGACCCCTTTACTCCTTCGTTGTAATAATTAGCGATTTGGAGGGATAAAACATTTAACAAACTTTAATAAATCTTACCCACGATAAATAAAAATATTCATACACTCGAAATAATATCTAATTTCTAACGATTAAGGTTATTATTATTTTTTCTTGGCAAAAGTGATCGGCGTGACAATTCGTCACGCAAACATGATTTTTATTCACACAAGAAAAAATATCTCGGATTGTCTATCTCGTAATACACCCGAAATAGATCCCACCTGCCCGAAATAGATTCTACACCTGAAATAGATCTGCCTGAAATTGGTATTGCTATCTGCTTCTCTTGTAATCAATTAGTATATACCGGAAAACGAACAAAAAATATAGGTAATTATAACCATATACAGTAGGAATGGAGAGGCAGTGGGCTACCCATTGTACAGGAAATACCTTCTGTGGTGTAAGTTATGATGAATATTTGCTGAAAATCAAACAAAAATCTATTTTGAGATATATTTATGATATGAGTATGCATTACACCGTTATGAACTGTGGATGCAGAATGCTGTTAGAAGGGTCAAACATGCCAGAGAAATTGGTAAGAAAATTCGAGCATGTACAATAATACAACGTAAATTCATTGAATATACAGTGTGTTTCGAAAATAATTGCGCAAATAAAAAAGTAAAACTCTCAATAACCGCAAGAGATAATTAAACGAAA